AAAAAAAAAAAAAAAAAAAGAAAGAAATCTGTGGAGTGGGTCATCTCTGCTCTCAGCTCACCTCACCGTTGCTAAGGAAGCTACCTAGCCCCCCTCCTTCCTCACGCACTTCCCTACCCTATACCTCCCTGGAGAGGCCCGGATGGTTTGGATCACACAAGTTCAGCCCACTCTACACCAAGGTCCCAGGGCACCTTTTGCGCCCCCTGGGGCTCCTCCGCAGGGTCAAAGGAAGTTCAGCACTTACTCTCCCCACTCAGCACCCTGTAGTGTTAACGCAGAAGGCCTGGGTTTCCCTTGGTGGGAAGGAGCCGTCGAGCCACCTTCCCCACGCGGCAGGCGTGTGTGTGTGTGTGTGTGTGTGTGTGTGTGTGTGTGTGTGTGTGTAATCACTTGCAAGGCTGCGCTGAGAGTGCGGTCTGAGGTCCGCCCTGGAGTTGAGAGTTCGAGCTCCAGGCCCCGTGCTAGGGAGTAGCCAGCCTCTTGGCTTCCCCAAATTTAGAGGCGCTAGAGTCACCCCGCGGCGCGAAATTAAGAAACTTACTTGTTTTGTCATGGAGTCAATGAGGCGCACGTAGAAATCCTGCTCCGTCCTTATCCCTGGGGGAGAGGGGAAGGGGAGTGGGGAACGAAGGAAAATTAAGTGAGAGAGGATCCGCCGCTAAATAAACAAACAAACAACAAAGAATGGGGTTCCAAGGCGTATGCAACGCCTACTCTCCCAGAGAAGCCCAGGCAGGACACCACCACCCCCATCTTCCCCAGTGTCCAGAGAGGGGCCAGTCCCTATGCACAGCAGCTGAGAATGGGGCGGGACCCCCACCTGGCTACTCTCCCTTCTCTAGTTGGGAGCCCCTCTGTGCGCTCTCTGGGAGCCATCAAGGCCACGACTGCTCTAGCTCCCTGAGCCCAAGGACTTAGGGCCTGGAGTCTGAGCTCAGCCTCCCTTAGGAACGGGAGAAAGAAAGGAATTGGCCCTGCGAGGGCCAGGGCTCCACACCTGGCCCCAGGTGTGCTCGAGCCGCCACGGCCGCCCTCCGGCTACTCGGGGCCTGCTTGCTTGAAACCTCCTCAGGTGAAACTTAGGGGAGGCCTGGTGACCCCGAGGACGGCGGAAAACCGAGCGTGCTCAGGGCTCTCGTCCACCTGGATCTGGCTGCGTCCCCTGCCCTCACCCAGAGCCCCAGGGTGCCGGCGCCGACCCGACCCGACCTGAGCCTCACCATTGCTGTAGAGGAGCTGGAGCCGGTAGTGAATCCCGTTATTGGTCTTTTCGCTGTTGGCTTCCTGGGTTTCAGCGAGACGCAAAGACACAACAAGAGACGCAGGAGAGAGGTCGGCGTGAGCGAGTGGACCGACTTCGAGGCAACTTTCCCGAAGAAGGGACCCCCGGCCGGGGAACCGGACAGGCCCAGGAGCAGCAGAAATTGCGGCCAACTGTGATCCCTCTGCCGCCCTCCCGACCCTTACTGCTCCCTCTTCCCTTCCAGAAAATTCCGTGGGGCCTGGGGGCTCGGGCCTGGGTCAGCAGAGGCAGGAGCCGCGCGTGGTCGCGCCATTGAGGGCGGGTTCATCCCAGGCGCCCTCGACTCTGGAGTGCGAAGCCGGGCTCGCCTCTCTCCAGCTCTGGGGCTCCACGCGAACTTTTTGGAGCAGAACCTCATGGATGAGGAGCCCGGGTTCGCCCAGGACGGGAAGTGGCTTGGGGGACCCCGCTCAGGAGTGTGTTATGGATGCTTTGCACTCGCCGAGGAGCGCGCCTCCCGAAGCGGCTGGGCCTGCTCCCCGGTCGGGGGCGAGGGGCAGCGGCGCTGCGCCCACTTACTTTTTCCTTCTCCACGAACCCAACAAAGGCTGTCCTCTCGATCTCCACGGGCTGGCCCTGTCTGTCGTAGAGGGCCAGGACGAAGTGGAAGAAGTTGGATTTCCGCAGATTGGAAGGCGGCTGCTTCTCAAAGTGAGCCCGGGCCAGACCCACCCCGCTGCGGCCAAAGACGCAGAGTTAGACGGCTAAGCGGGACACCGACGCGCGACCCTTTGTCACCCTTTACACACGCGCGAGCCCTCACGCACCAACCTCGTCTACCCCCAGAACACCTAGTGGGCGCCCTACACGCCCCCTCCGGCGCCCGGGGCCCACCCGGCGACGGGACATGCGTGCTCTCGTGTGTCCAGTCCTCCCGCCAAGCACACGGCGCGCCCCCCGAACTCGCCGAAGAGCCATGAAAGTTTTGTTAGGGTTTTGCGCAGGAGATAAAACCCTGCAAGCCTTTACTCTGACCTGACGCGCGCTACGTGGGAAGGAAAAGTGGAGGTGGATGCAGTGAACCCGCGTTCGTGGAACACAGCTGGTAGTTTACAACTTGGAGAGAGGGAGGCATGGGAATTGGTGCCCGCCACCCCCACGAATCTCCCGCCTCAGCCTCAAGGGCAGGTGAGGATGGATGGGGAACAGGCTCAGTTTCATGAAGCCGCAGCCATCCTCCAGGAAACCTCGCGTGCCCCCGCCAGGCACGGGCGCCGGGCCTCTGGACACCGCACGCCCCCTCCCCAAATAAGGCATGTGAGAAAAAGGATCTGAGGGGGTCAACTCAGAGCTGTCAAGGGTGGTTGCTGTGGAACAGGGAGCTGGTTTAAAAGACCTGTCCTGACAAAGTTTCGCTGTTCCACAAAAACCCTCACACTCATTCCAGAAATCCTATGGACCAGGGGTGCCGGCTGAGCGCGCCCGCGGGGGGACAGGAGGCTCGGGTGCCAGGGGCGCGGGAGGCCACTGACAGCCCGGCCTGCCCAACACAAGGGCGCGCTCACACACACACACACACACACACACACACACACACAC